CCAGTAAAAGCACTTATATAGTTAATGAATTATGTATGTACTTTGCTACACCTTTAGCTTCTTAATATCACAGCATTAGCAGTTGTCGAGCTATAAACTGCTTGTCAGGAAAACATCTTTCAGGATCAATTTGTAAGAAAGTTGATGGAAAACCATCAGATCATTTTTTTCCCCCTCCTCCTTAGCAGAAGGGTCCAGCAGGCAGAGATTTTCTGGGATGAAACTATACGCACAAAAAGTGTGCAATTAGATCCTTCTCTCCATTTATCCTGATCTTTTTCTCCATCAGTCATTCAAATTCATTCAAGCGGTTGTCTGTACATGACTCCCTTTTCTCGCTTTCTTTCTCAGACAGCCACAGTGTTTGCAACACCTATCAAGAGAAACATCTTAAAAAAACACAGCAAAAAATGTGTTTTATGGCCGGCCATTCCATTAGACAGAGTGGAGCAGCTGCCTCTCAGACAACTGACTTGGGGCGTCGTGAAATGACAGCAAATAATTATTTCATTTGCTGTTATTATGGTTTTACTGCCAGGTGGAGTTTTCCACCTCAGATGCCTGAATAGCTTAGCTGGCCACGGGTAGCAGTCATCTTTTTAATAAATAAATGAAAACTGAAGACAGGGAGGAGTGCCATTTGTTGCTCAAAATGACATGGGTGCCATTAAGCTATCATGCGCCACATAGTTAAACTTAGGAATTCGCTACCGTAAGTAGCAGGGGTGGCCACCAACTTGGATGGTTTTCAAAGGGGGTTAGACAAAATCATGGAGGATAAGGCTATCAGTGGCTGCTTACCATGTCAGCTATCTTCTACCTCCTCTGTTGGAGGCAATATGCCTCTGAAGGCCAATTGCTGGAATATGAAGATGGAGAGAGTACTTCTGCACTCAGGTCCTGCTTGCGGGCTTCCCCTAGGCATCTGGCCTGGCCACTGTGAGAACAGGATGTTGGATTCAATAGGCCACTGACCTAATCCAGCAGACTCTTCTTATGTTCTCATGCTTATCCCATTGTGAAGTTCCATAGGAAAACTTGCCAACTGTGTTCAGGAGACCCACTGGAAAGCATCATTCTTCAGACACAGGTAGGGAGTGCATTCACACTGCACACACAGGTCCATTCCACAGAGAGGTCCATTGCAATGCTTTCTCTCACCCCCATTCCACATTGTTGCCATGCACTGTTGTACTAGACATGCCTTAATGCAGCCAGGAAATAGATGTAAACTGAAGATGAAACTGCTTACTTAGAAGCACCTAATAGCTCAGTTTTCACCCCATATGCAGCTTGGATCTAGCTCCACCAATCCCGGTTCTCCTGAGAATAGTCTCTGTGCCAGGGAGAGGATTGTGCTGCCAGATGCTCCCAGGGTTGTTTTTTTAAGTGCAGGAGACCTTGCAGTTGAGATTATTTACCTGGCTGCATTTAGGGTACACTAAGCATAGCAGCCACCTATCCTCCTGAATGTCAAAGAGTGAACACAAATCTGTTTCAGACACTTTGTACCCTATTCTCCATGCATGCAGGATTGTGGCCCTAATGAAAATCATGGGGAAATGTTATTTCGAGGTTATCTTGCCACATCATAAATAAAAGCACAGATGTCTGAAACCTAATAAGGCAAGCCGGGTTGGAGAATTCCCTGTCTTATTTCGAGAGTTTCTCCCAACTGTCTTTAATTATCTAACATGGCGTCTTGCTGGAGCAGCTTATCCACAGCCAGCCTGTCTCTCCATGTAACTAGTAAGATGAAGGATAGCCAACCTGGTGCCCTGCAGATGTTTTGGGTACTCTATGGTCAGGGATGATGGGACTTGTAGTCCATGACTTCAGGAGGGCACCCTGTTGGCTACACTTCCAATAGATTATCCTTGTCTGAAACTTCTCAATTGTAAAGTAATCCATGTGGCATTTGCTGTCATGAATTCATGAACTGTGACAATCAGGGATGATTCCTATATATCTTCATCCAAACTAACACCTGGGAACCTCAACTAGTATTGCCCAAAACCATTTGTTTTCATAGCCCAAGGGCTTTCCTCAATCAAAAGCCAAAACAAATAAACCAAAAGTTTCTATGTAAGATGTCAGAAAGGAAAGGAGTCTCTCACAGGTTTTCCAGAGATTTATACCCCTACCAGAGGCTCATAAATGTCACCTAAGCATCCAAAAGTGCTACCACTTCATATCTTTAATCCTTGAGTCAGACAGATTACTCAAGACCCTGTTAATTGACACATCGTAAGCCGGGACACTGGTTTAATAACCAGACAGTTTGAGACAAATAAATGGGGATGTGAAGAATCTACCTAACACCATTAGCCTACACTTAAGGCAATATTAATTTCAAAGATTGTCAACCACAAAAAGATTTCTAGATCCCTATTCAGCTGTCAAAACAGGAGAAGAGACAACTGGATACAGTAGCGTAGCATGGGTTGCCAGTGGGGGAGGAGGAGGAAATGAATGGAGTACATTCAGCTGCCTAACAGCGTCACCCAGAAGATCACAGCCATAGAGATGCAAAATTTTGCGCCCCTAATAATTTTGCACCCAGGACAACCACCCCATTCCCCTCACACATTACGCCACTTGACTGGATATTCTATTCTAATATGATATCATATTCTAATATGATGATGTGCATTTAGCCTCCCCCATCAGCTCATGTGACTCTTTGGGTATCTGTGGAGGGTCACTGAGAACCCTGGCAGAGCAGAGGGGGTCTCCACAGATTTAGAAAGTTCACCCCAACAAAAGTTCACCATCATCGCAAGACTGGCTGGGACAGCCATGGTACCTTGGGGAGGGGAAGATGTGCTCCCCCAAGCTCCACTGGGTTCACTCTTCATTTCCAAAGCCCAGGTGGTAATGGGAAAGAATCAAGGATCAAGGCCAGGCTTGGGATAGGGTCATGAGTGCCTAAGAAGAGGCTCTTCAGACTGGCTTTGCACTGCAGTGGGTTCCTCAAGGTCCTTGGAGCAGGGTTTTTGGAAGAGGTCTTCTCATGTCTCTGTAGTGAATAGGATCCTGACATGTTTCTTGTGAATTAGTAAACCTATGTACCATAGTGTATGTTCAAGTACAGACTTTTAGCCCTGCCCCCTACATCATCTCTTGCTTTTATTTTTTGTATGTTGATTTTAGTATTACATTTCTAGCTGACCTTTCCTTCTAAGGAGCTTGAGGTGGCATGCATGGCTCTCTCCCTGCCCTCTCCAGACTACCCTCACAAGAACCCTGGGAGGTAGGTTAGGCTGAGAGATGGTGACTGGCCCAAGGTCACCCAGTCAGCTTCATGGCTGAGTGAGGATTTGTACTCTGGTCTCCAAGGTCCTGGCCCAACACTGTAACCTCCTCACTTGCAGGGCATCTGCATGATTGGGACACTCACAAGACCAGCTGTCCAAGTCGTGCAGAAGCTGGGAAGCACTGGTGCATCAGCTTTCCTGTTTGGACCTGTGGCGGTTTTTTGAAAAAGAAACACTGACATTGGACACTAAGAGAGGGAGCCCTCTTCCAGTCTGTACAGGAATATGTCCTGCACATTAGTGACGTGTGCATAGAGTTTCCAGAATGGATTCAACTGAACCTATCTTTAAGGTCCCGAAAGACTCCTCTCTCTTCTAATACTGACCAGCCTGAAGCTTCTGGAAGGGTATGAAAACAATTGTCCTGCCTCATTGTTTGCTCCAAGTACACTGCCTTGGAACACAGGAGATCTCTTTTGCTGTCATAGCTAATAACTCTGAGAATAGTTCCTTAGCATACAAGCTTTCAAGCTCAAGCTTCATTTTGCTTTGTGCAGCTTTGAGCTCTGCCACATATTACTTTACAAATTAAGTACCAAGGACTCTAAATGGGTAGGATGGTCGGTGGAGAAATTACAGGTTAAATGACCTTTGGAAAACCAGGTGAAGCAGTTTGAGTGGATTTACTCACCCTTGCCAAGGTTTTGCTGTTCACTCTTTTTTTATTTAATCAGTTTTCTTTTCTTTTTCTTTATTTCTTTATTATAAAAATTCAGCAACCACCAAATCTAGACTTGCCTATTATTCCCAGGAAAGAAGAATTGAGCACAAGTAACACACAACCCCTCCCGAGCCGAGCAATTTAGATTTAAGCTTTGTTTCTTGTTTTGTTTTGTTTCAAATAATTCTTGCCCTTTAGATAGAAGAGAGAGAAGGGGAGAAGGCAGGGTGGAGGGGAGAGAAAACATCCATTTACCTTTGTTAAAAATCAATCCTTCCCAGTCCCAAAATAGGAGAAACTTATCTCCAAATTAAAATTGAGTCATGACACTGTGTGCCTGTAATTTTTCAGTCTCACGGGTGACAGTGCCCAACATCCATCACCAAATGCCAAGAGGATGTTGAAGAACTATGTCAGAGAGGAAATTGCCACAATTCACATGTTTGTTGGAGGTCAGGAATGGAAAACACACAAGTGAATACAAGTGGCATTTGCTCTTGTTGGCTTTTTAGTTTGCAAATGCTATGCAGATAATTACATTATTTTCTGCATTTTTTATGTTTCCATTGAAATAAATTACGTAATGAAGGACATAGTTTATTCCATGAGTTTTAGCTGTAGTGAATAGTGAAGCAAACAATGTAGGTTTTAGCAGAAGCTGACCTGTAGTAGAATGGAAGCACTGCTGATCGTGATGAAAACAGGGTGGTATGGAAATAGCTGCCTCCTTATATCCTCATCTCCTCCCCCTCCTATATAAGTCAGCTACGATTGGTAAATTGAAACCTGCCGGCCAAGTCCCCTAAAGTGATTGTGGACCATTTGTAACTCATGGGAAAGTAACAGCAGAAGCAACACAACACTCACTGGGTTGTTGTTGGTTATTTAGTTTACTGCCCCTTAGAAAGGTCTGTCTAATCTCACATGCATCCTGTCTAGCAGTGATTCTTAGAATCCTAGAATTGCAGAGTTGGAAGGGACCACGAGGGTCAACTAGTCCAACCCCCTGCAAGGCAGGAATCTTTTGCCCAACTTGGGGCTCAAACCCATGACCCTGAAATTAAGAGTCTCATAATCTACCGACTGAGCTATTATTATAATATCTGTCCTACCTGTAGGTAGCAGCCGGGTGGGGATGCAACAATTCACAACACAGCCTGTAGCATTGGCACACCAATTGATTGAACATTGGCACGCACTATCTTTACACATTACTCATAAGCAGTGGGTCCTTCCTTTTAGCTCCACCATTGTGCCTTCTCATGTCAGTAACCACATGTCACATGCAGAAGTCTGTAAAAGTCCAACACATGAGCTGCTACACATGTACAAGGGACCTGTACAATCCGTTGTTGGACTTCAGCTTCCCTCCGCCCTTGCCACCATGACTAGAGATCAGGGATGACGGATGCTATAATCAAACAACATCTGAATGGCCACATGTTCCCCAACCATCCTCGAGGTGAGAGGGAGTTTTATATTCCGGAGCAGCCATCACAAATACCTCCACATGCCCCTGCTGTTTGTACTCAGTGAACCAGTGTTATGATTTTTAAAAAAGCACTCAGGATATTGTGGTCTCTATGGTGCCTACAATGCCTGCAGAAAACATGAGGTGATCGTGGCAGCTATAACTCCATACTGTCTCGGTACCTCAGGGCCCTCATCTGTGAAATGGAGCTAATGGCACGTCCCTTGCTAAAAGGAGACAAATCCATTATTGGCTGAGAGGTGCTTAGTTTCTATGGCAATGGGAAGCATGTGAGTACCCAGCTGGAGAGTCCAGGACTTTGCTCAGCCCTCTCATCATTCCTTTCACACATGGATAGTCTCCTCCTGACCTCCCTTCATTTTTAACAGCCCGAATTGCAGCCATTAGTTACAGCCACCAAAGGTCAGACATTTAGCTCTCTCATTAATGGTTTCCAACACCCCTGCAGTTGAAACAAAAGCACTCCAAGGGCACGGGCAGCTCTTCACAGGCACAGAGAAAGCAGCCCAGCAGAACTCTTTGAGCTGTGCCAATGCTTGGAGAGATAGCTCATACTTCTTTCCAAAGTTTCTCAGGGCTGAATGCAGAATTTAAAGGAGTGTTTATTCATGAGCCACATTAAAAAAGCCAAACTGGGACAGATGGGTCCAGGTGCAGTGCTATTCAGAGCTAGGCCATGTTCACATCATATATTTAAAGCACTATGCTAGCCAGCCATAGCTTCCCCCAAGAATGCTGGGAGCTGTAGTTTGCTAAGGATGGTCAGAGTTGCTAGGAGCAGCGGTGTGGCATTCTTTCCTAGTGCCCAGGGTGCTTGCACATGTGCGCGCATGCCAGGTGGGGACGGGCGAAGCCAGGACAACAGAACCCACCAGGCCAGGCCAGCCCTCGCTACCAACACCACCGGACATGCATGCACAGGACATGGAAGGTTCATGGAACTCATGTGCCAGCTTAGCCCTGGCCACCGGAGCCAAGCAGGGCTGCACTGTGCTCCTGCCCACCCATACAGGGGTGAACCCATCCAGCCAATGGTGTTCTTGGCAGGCAAATCCACCCCCCAACACTGCCATTCAGTGAAGGGTGAGGCCAGGCCAGGCCAGAGACCCCCGGTGGCAGGTGGGGCAGGGTGGGGATCCCTGTGTGGGTGTGCATCCCCTAAAAATTGTGCACCCAGAGCTACTGCCCCCTGCTGGGTCCCCCATGCTATGCCTCTGGCTAGGAGACCTGTATAGGGGACGCGGGTGGTGCTGTGGTCGAAAACACTGAGCCTCTTGGGCTTACCAGTCAGAAGGTTGGCGGCTTGAATCCCCACAACAGGGTGAATTCCCATTGCTCTGTCCCAGCTCCTGCCAACCTAGCAGTTTGAAAGAATGCCAGTGCAAGTAGATAAATAGGTACCTCTGCGGCGGGAAGGTAAATGGTGTTTCCGTGCACTCTGGTTTCTGTCACGGTGTTCTGTTACGCCAGAAGTGGTTTAGTCATGCTGGCCACATGACCTGGAAAGCTGTCTGTGGACAAACACCAGCTCCCTTGGCCTGAAAGCAAGATGAGTGCCACAATCCCATAGTTGCCTTTGACTGGACTTAACCATCCAGGGGTCCTTTACCTTTTTACCTATTCCCCTCACAGGGTTGCAATTCCCAGAGTTCTATATGAAGTGTGATAGAACTCTAGCTCTGCGAGAGGAACAAGGGTCTCCTAACCATTCTCAGCACCCATAACAGAGAGCTATTCCAGAGAGCTATTTTAAAAACAGTAAGCCTTTAATCGCACTTTCAGCCCAATTAAAAACATTTCGACTCTGTCTCACTGATTTCAGTGGCACTTGCTTGGTTGTCACTGTGTACTTCAGGGACAGGGAGCCTGTGGTCCTTCTGAAGTTGCTGATCTCCAGTTCCCATCAGCCCCAACCAGCATGGCCAATGGGTGGAGATGAGGGGAGTTGGGAGTCCGACAACACCTGGAGGACTCCTACTTCCCTGTCCCCGACATGTAAGATTGCAGCCTTTATGTACATGGCATGCAATAAAAAGCACATGTGCTCAGCTATGAGAGCGAAAAACATATTATGAGCATAATAACAGGGAAGTATTGCATGTTTTCCCCCCTTTCCTTTGCTTTTTCACTCCGTTTTCTCCTTTCTGCCTTTTATATATCAATGCAGCAATCCCCATTTCCGGACAGCCAAGTAATAAAAAATGCTCATGTCAGTGTTTCTCCGCCAAGCCCTAAGATATTTGGAGCATGATACGTTTCGTCACTCCCTCTAGCGCTGGAAGTGAGACATCATCTCTCCCTCCCACCCACCCTTTCTGCCTCTCAGACACATCCACACAGAAACTCACCACAAGACAAATAGGCCGAAGAGAGAGATGCACCTTTTAAACTTTCATCGCTATTTTTCTTTGCTGTCCTCGAGTTCCTTTTGATTTATTTTTCAGCAGCTCCTCCCTCTCCCAAGACCACTCTATTCCCCTGCGTCTTTCTTTTCTGTTCTTTTTTTGCTCCCTTCTCCATTCATCCCTAGGAAGACAGCTCGCCATTGGTATGCTGCTATAGAAGCAGTGCTGTTACATTATTATTCTTTTTAACCCATGGGTTCTGGTGTAAAAATAAAGTCCTGCTATGTATGTACGTTTGTCCTGCAAATAAGCCCACTGCCCTTGGTGCATTTCAACACCTGTTGTTATTATTATTATTATTATTATTATTATTATTATTATTATTATTACAGTGGTACCTCCAGTTGCGGAGTGGGTCCATTCCGGAGGTCCGGTCGGATCCCGAAGTTTCCGCAGCCTGAGGACCACTTCTGCGCATGCACACGTGGCGAAACCCGGTAAAATACTTCCGGGTTTGCTGCACGCGCATCCCAATACGACTGTATTATTATTATTATTTCTTATTAGTCACTTGCTATCCAACATTCTCCAAGTAACATTGAAACACACACACAAATACCATTGACAAATTCATCTAAAATTCCGTAGAAAACGTGTAAAGTCCAGGTACTACCGGTAAATATCGACTAGGCAAGTAATTCTATAGACCACTCTAATCATATTATCATAGAACTGTTGTGTTGGAAGGGACCACGAGGGTCATCTAGTCCAACTCCCTGCAATGCAGGCAGGAATCTTTTGCCCAACATGTATTTTGGCAAGTGTGTGAATGAAATCATTAAAGGCTCTGGCAGTCCTGTTATCCACTCCCCAAAGAGGCTTCCTGAGGACTCCTTTTATCTCTTTCTCAGGATCATAGCTAGGATGAGGAGACATTCTAGGCCATTTCTCAAACTTTCAGCATATGTTCTGCAACTGCCTTCACTTCACGATGGCTGAAGAAGTCAGTAGCCAAACAGTTTTGCTTGAATACTTTTATTTCTTCATGGTGTTCACCACCATAAAATATAACATAACCAGTGCTTTTTTTTCCTGGGAAGACACAGGGGTACACATGCCCCTAAACATTTTGTGAATCTAGGCTTGGCCTCATTGAGGGGCAGTATTTCAATATGACTAGGAAAATGAAAGTACCCCTAAACATTTTTAAAGAAAAAAAGCACTGAATATAACTTCTGCTGTTGTTTCTATGCTGGACACTGAATGTAGACAGGTATGATCATGGTGGTGGTGATGATGATCTCTATTAATTGTGGGGAGATGAAGGAAAGTATGCATTCAGGATTCTACTGAAATGCTCACCGATGTAGAAACTTGCCTCCTACATTATGGCCAATGAATGCAGCAAGCACTGATAAGCACCTGGCTCTTATATTTAAATGCAATAAAATTACATTTTGTTTCCTTCATCGTTGACGCAACCAGAGCCTGAGGTGGGACAGGGTGCAGTGGGATTCCATCCCACTTCTGGCAAAAACCTCATACCAACCCATTTTCTTCCTCCCATGTCGGGCACTGAAATGACTGTAGCACTGAATCTGGCCTATTTTGAGAGAACAAAACCATCCCACTTCCTTCTTTCTCCTGTTTCAGGCATCTTGTGGGCTTAAACATATCAGGCTAAATGCAATTATGTTCTGGATCTTAGACCCCGCCCTACAAAATTTCTAATGGCTAGCATGGATGTACGCAGGACTTTTTCGGGGTGGGTCGGTGGGCCAAAGTAAAACACTGAAAGTGAGGAAGCATACTGATTTCTCACACACCCATAAGAATAATTCTGCCGTACATTTTGTCTCATATCTCAGGTTCTACAACCATAAGAAACTTGCCTTTTTCAGAAAATGAAAGCTGGGCAACTGTGGGTTATGGCTGATCAGGAATGGGGATGTGCAGCTGTCCCCTCCACCCTCATGGAAGGCCTAAACAAGAAGTCTGCACCTTCTAGCCATGGTCCAGGGGATGTGGTGGGCAAATGTTTCTTCTATGGTCACTTTCAGACAATTGGTTTAATGAGCCTTCAGCCTGATATGTTTGTGTAGAGATTAGACCACATTAACTACGGTACTTATTGAGCATTTGTCTCAATTTGTTTGAGGAGAGATTAGCTGAAGTTGTTGTGCCTGGTAAGTGGTATCCCACACTCTGCAGTGTATCTCCCCATCACTTTCCTTATCGCAAGAAATCTATTCTTTGG